AATCGTCAGGAAAATCCTAAAAGCTCCCCAAAATTAGTTGTGCAGACACAGACAAATATGAGAACAGTTACTCAATGGGTAAAAGTCTTTATCATAAAACAAATAAATATTAAGTAACAATAGATGGGGAAGAGCCGTAGTAGCTCAGTGGTTAACGCTCGCTGTAAATATAACAGAAGGCGAGTATCCTGGGTTCGATCCCCGCCGGCACCAATGAAATTGTTAATTGCAATTTTAAGTGCTGATTTACCACGTGCGGAGACATAAGGAAAATATCGTGAGGAAACCTGCATGTCTGAGGAATAAGAAAAAAAATATTTCGAAGACATGTGAAGTTCGTCAACACGCATTTGGGCAGCGCGGCGGACACTTCCTTGCCCTAAACCCTCTCAGAAATGAGGGGAGGCCTGAGCCCAGCAGTGGGACGTATATAGGCTGTAACTTTACTTTACTTTAACTTTAGATTGGGGATTTATTCTACGAAGTTAGTTAACATTAACTAATTAAAATGAAATTAAGTTCTAATTATACAAATCAATTACGTTTCTAAATTAAAATAATTTCTCGTTCAAAACATTAAATTGAATTCATATCACCTAAGTTTTATATTACTAAAATATTAATTCGGTTTATTATATGATATAACTATTTCCATCTATTATGTTGCTATGTATTGTTACACTGTTATGTACACTCATACTATAAATTTACTTGATCTATCCCAAACACCGTGCAGACTTATTAAAGCCTTAACACACCTTAGTCTAGCTTACCTTAGGGGCTGGAGAATCAGGGGCCCGCGATGCTCTTGCGGCTGCACATCGTTGTCTTTCCTTGCACTCGAGGCAGTTGCGGACCGCACACGTGCACACCTGCGCAAACCCTACTGCTACACGCTACGCACACTACACTACGCGAATGGTACTCACGCGATACGTAAACACGAGCCGTGTAATGGGCACGTGCTACACACTACGCAACAAGTATAACGCGCTACGCATGCTACACGCTACGTAGCACGCGCAACGTTTAATAATGCTAATAAAAGTCCGCGCGTTCTTTCTTAGTCGAGCTGAAGTTAGTCGCGAGTGACGCAGATAAGCCTTTAGTACCTAAAGACCGATTTACACTTCGACAAGTACAGTAGCGAGTTTAGTTACAGGGCAGTTGACAGTAAACGGTTAAGTAGGCAGTAGCGTTCAAATGTCTTCGTGGCGAGTTTAGCGAAGGACATTAGTTCATAGACTTCGTTGGATTATGACGTTTCAAGACTACAGAATTTTTCTGGTTTTCGTTCTAGGATTACTTCAAGAATTAAATGATCCAGTCAGAGAAGTATTAATGGTTGTTGTTAAAGAAGTTTTTAAGAATTTTCATGAGTGCAGCATCTGGAGCAGATTTTTTTACAATTTGAACTTCAACTAATAAACATTTATTTTTTAAATACTCCTGTACAAATTTATACGTGATATCTTCCATCCATTTTATTATTAAAACTCAATAAAAATCGTATAAATATTTAATAAACAGTATCGTACAAACTTTGTGGCAAGTTTAATTATAAAAGTACAATTGTACGTTTTGGCTTTTGGCGCGCAAACGTTGCGTCCTGTCAACTTATGCACTAAAGTAAACTGGCTTTAGTTTAGTTATGTTACCTTAGCGTTACTGACAGAAATGATTGTCTCCGCCAAATTGATGTATTTACTAAGTGCATATTCAAATTTTTAATCATAATTCTTAAAGATTTTTTTTCTTTGAAGGATTTATTCTATAATCGATGTAGACATAACAAAATGTTTCCCTAAGCAATCTTAAGAACAAATATGAAGTAGCACATGTCTATCGACGCTCCGCCACGCCAGGCCGCCAAGATTACATACGTGAATGTCTCGGAGAGCCAACTTCAGCCCGGTCAAGATAGAACGCGTGGGTTTTAAAATAGTAACACAATAGCACGTAAGTTACGTATGCTATACAATACGCAACACGTGTAACGCGTTAGTTTTGTTCAGTCCGAGTGTTACACTCCGTTACTTAGGAGTATTACACAGAATTCTTTAATTCATTCGTAAACTGACGTTTAGAATTTTAACTATGTTAAATTATATATGTTCCAATGAACTCTCAAATTAATTTTATAGTACACGGTGACTTAAAACCACGGGTACCACAATTGTACGGAAAGGTTTACTTAAGTCACGCATCTAATTTATAATTTAAAAAAATTAAACATTTATTGAAACATAATAATTAATACAGCACAATAGAAGTTTAATTACATCTTTAATTATACACTTTAAATTTTAATACTTTAAATTACCAACAAAACATTAAATCATTTGATCAAGGAATAGTATAAACAATACTTGACATAAAATCATTTATATTTTATATAATTGACATATTCATGTATATCACATATCATATCACATTATATTTTTTCTATAATAATTTGGTATTCTAAAATTTTTCAATAAAAAAATTGGATTTAAATCACATGTATTGTAAATAATGTAGATGTAAATTTAAATGTACTGTAAATAACGATAGAAGGGACTTCAGTAGCCGATTATTGAACCGTGTGAAGCTAATGTAATGTACTATTGAATAAAAAACAAGCAAACATCAATATAATAACAACATACTTAGCACTTCTATGGTCTAATCACGGGCAGAAAATCTTTAAATTTAGAGACAGCAAGAAGAAACACCATGAATGGTTACGCTAAGGACAAATTAGTTTCAAATATATAGATGATTATACATGAAGTATTTGAAAGATAATGTGTTCTAATGGCAAAAATTACACAAAAAAATTTAATTATTATCTTACAAAACAACTCTTACTGTCATATAAAATTATATACCTTACATATCACTTTTCTATCTATATCTTACTACGAAATTAAAGTTTCTAGTGGGTAATTCTTTTCTGATACTTGTTTATATTTTATTAAAACAGTATACAGATAATAAAACAAAAAAAACTATTTGACAATATTTTACTACACCCTAAAATGTCGTTATTGGGAGATGCGGTTTTCAAATTTCAAGCAAATCTAAATTAAGGATAATAAAAATTAACAAAAATATCAATTAGGTTAATAAAAATTCTACTGTCTCTACTCTCTTACTTACCAGCCTTAAGCACTGCCTCAGTATCCCACCGCTGGACATGTTCTTCTCAGCTTCCAGCTCTGCGAAGTTAAGGGCGCTGGCGAATATCAGCACATCGGCCATGCTCACCAGTCGTTGGAGGAACGTCACCGCCACTTCAATCGGCATGCCTTGTGTGGGCTCGATCACATCTAGCTCGTTCTAAGAGTAAAACATATAAGCCCAAAGATTAAAACAGTAATAAAAACCTACTATGTAAAACAGTTTACTGAAAATAGAAAAGTTTTATATTCTATGTCACTCCAACAACTAAGGCGTTTTTCACACGGAGCAACTTTAGTTGGGGCAACTATCACCTTTTCGAAAGGTTTCTTTACAAATTGCTAGTTGCTACAACCAAATAGACTGGTTTACAGTTGCAGCAATTTTATGGTAATCTGTGAGCAACGTTCATAGCTGAGTTGCTCAATATACGCAGCGATCAGCATTGTGACGATGGATACCGAAGAAGCAGCACTTGTTCTCATTTTATTACGTCGTCGCCGTCGACGGCATCAACAATGATAAATTATTCGCAGCAACTAACTTAGTCATCGATTACAGCAGCTGAAAACTGTTGACGATCACGGGTAATCGAAACTCGAGTTGCTGTGTGTACGCAGTCCCATTTGATAATATGTAAAAAGCTAGTTGCCAGTTGCCAATTACCGCAATAGTTGCTCCATGTGCAAAGCGCCTAAGACGAATCTAACGACACCACATATGTTACGTGCCTCGAAAAATATTACGCTCCTTCTGGGGCAGTCGGATAAAAATTGGATCCGTTTGATGTATATGATATTTGGTTGGCTCTTTATGATCATAAGCGAAGGAGCAAAAATGAGATCTATTAAGTTGTCTTGTTTTGCAACAGACGGCAACATTAGTTATGGCCAAATCGTTCTTACAAGTTGTAAGAATTACTCTTTATTTTTGGTTACTTTATAATGTTTTTTACACGTGGTAGAGCCATGCTGCAGCCAAATTAATAGCATAATTGAAGCACGAATATGTCGACTCGACGGGGGAAGGACCACACTATAACAGAATACCAGCGTAAAATAGCAGCTCAACGCTGCTGTTTCGTATGGTGAATGTAGAGAACCGAATTCACCGAAAACGGGACATTTCTCATGGGTGACAATACACCTGCAGTTTGATTCGTTATCGAGGATAGTTGTCGATGTCTAGGGAGGGATCACAGCAAACACTTATCATCAGGTGGACTATGTGCTCGTTTGTCACCGATATCTTATTAAAAAATGTCATGTATTCATTATGATCTGAACATAGGCTTCAATTATCAAATCTGTTTAAATTTTTAAGGATACAAAATTACATTTTTTGTAGCTGATCATTGTGGTTATCTTTATACTTCTATAACGTGATAATCATTATAATTATCATCACCACCTTTCTGAAGCCCACCGCTGGATAAGCTCCCAGGAACGCCACAACAATGGTCCGGACCATCAGTTTCCCGCTCTTACCAGGTCGTCACTCCATCTAGTGGGGTACCTCCTTACACTTTGTTTACCGGTACGGGGCTGCCGGTGTGTCGGTTGTTCGAGCTATATGGCCGCGACCCATTGCTACTTCAGCTCACTAATCCGTTAGACTATATCGATTACTCTGGATCTATCTATTATATTGTTGTAAATTCCGCGCATACTCATATGGCCACCAGTAAAGGGCCACGTCTCAGCTCCCTCCCATGGCCAGCAGTGAAGGACCACATCTCAGATTCATATGTCATCACTAGCAACACGCAATGGTTGTATAATCTTGATTTCAAGTTAATGTACTACAATATAAAAAATAATGTAATCTAGAATTCTTACATTTGGCGAAGTGGCCGAAGCGAGCAAAGGTAGCAGTCCACCGCAAGCGATGATGAGATTATCAGCCAGTTGGCTGATGAGATGTACGGTGTTCACTACGAAGATAGCATTTTCACTGCTGTTCACAAAGTCTATCACAGATTTTGTGGAATGACTGCGCCAAACCTGCAAATATATTCGAAGACCTGATGACTCATTACTTCTTCTTGATTTCGACTAACCCATTCAAACCAAACCGTTTGCTACACCGTTCGTCATGCGTAAAGCAAATGAGTGGAATAACTTGCCAACATCTGCCTTTCCATTTGATTACAATGTGGATGTCTTCAAAGCAAGACTGAAAATAGGCTTTTGTTAAGTCGGCTGCATCACCACTTACCATCAGGTAGGATAGTAGATATCGCTGGCTGGCATAGTAAAAAAATCCTTCATACATTGATTCATTTTTCACTCATTCATTTTACCTGTATATCCGTTTCAAGTGAGAAAAGCACGTCGGAAAGAAGGCGTTGGTGGATGTACGACCAGCGGAATTCCGGGATACGGAATGGTGGTCTCGTCGGGCCAGGAGAAAACATCGGCCGGTTGCATTTTGTTGGTCGTTTTGTTTCTGAAAAATATTCCATTCCAAAAATAAAGTAAACATATTCTTTTTTTCTAATAAGAACGAAGTTTAAATAAATAAATAAGCCTCTGAAACCTTCAACAAAGAAAAAAGCAGAAAGACGAAGAGGTTCATTTTGTGTGGTGGGTACATTTTAACTAATTCCGAAACAATGCTCAAATTCTAACGCACACATCTTTCTCCTTCCTTTCGTTAACTATCCGTCAAAGTAAACTGCTGGATGCTGGATGGACCTAAAACCATGTTGTTGGTTGCATATTATTTTAGAGGCATATATGTACGTGGGTGTGTGTTCTTACTATAAGCCGAACATAGTTTCGGCTTAATTTAAAATGTAAACAAGAAGCATAGTTTTTAATATGTCTGTGTATAGTAGAATCCCGTCACCACTAGTCCCAGCACCAGTACTCTCAACACCACTCTTATCGTATCTTAGCGGTCAGCCGCCGTAAAGTCAACATCACGTAAAGATGCCTCGTGTACAGGCGAAACCGATGGTGTGTCTTTCCTGGAATAGTGGTGTTGGGAGTTGTGGTGCTGGGATTAGTGGTGACGGGATTATTGGTGACGGGATTAGTGCACGCAATTAAGGGAGGGCGGGAGGTGCTCTTCAAACTAGGTAAGACACATCATTTGATTTTATTCAGCGGACGGTTGCAAAGTAACTATTAATATCCTTATTATAAATTTTACTTTATTTATAAATTACTCTATCTAGTGCCAAAAAAGACAATCACTAAGTCGGGACCCTGTACCTGTTTATACAATAAAAAGTGCGGAGTGATGTTTTGGCGAAACTACTACTAGTTAAACCATAGTAAAAGAAATATGTTTGAAACTTTTAGTCACCGCGTGAGTTGACATATTATTAACATGTTGTTAGACAGATTAGCAATGTTGCTTTTTCAAAACAAGGTTGAAATTTTTCTTTCATGGATTTCTTGTTTCTGTATCATCCTGTCACAGTTCACGGTGGCTGACCTCATCGACATTAGAAAATAATTGACGCATTCAGCAAGCTTGGCAGAAAGAATGGCGATTGCAGAACCAAATAATATATCGCCCCATTAACGTTGTTCCCCATCAACTGACTGATCATTTTACTACCATCAGAGGCCATGAAGTCATTCCAGCTTTTCAATAGTCGGATCTTATGGCAATCACGGAACGAAATTTGATGATGGACATGGAAAAATTAAGCATTATATAAAGCGAACCATTCAAATAAAAATTATTGAGAAAATAAACCTCTTCGTTTTACTATGCGAGTTAAAAACTAAGATAACTGTAACACTGCACCAATGTATACAAAATATATATATAGATTAATTAAGACGAAGAAGAATTATTCTTCATAAACTTCTAAAGAGGAATAAAGTTTAAAGCTAGTAAAGATCATTAAGTATTACCTAACGAAAAAAGTACAATTGACTTACCGAAATGATTTGAATCAACTTGAGTACTCGTAGAAGCACTTCGAGGTCTTTTAGGGGAAGATGAAGTGTTCGTGCCTTGTGATGACATATTCTCGCCTCTGCTGTCTTGTTTCATCTCACTGTCACCGGGTAAGCTCACGCGTCGTTTCTCCCTGTCGTTTTCACGAATTCTTTCGTCTTCTTTTTCCTGCTCTTTTTTGTTTGCTAACGATATATTCTCACTTATTGTGGATATAGGGGGTATTTCTGGTGTTTTAGGATCTTCTAACGGCTCTGTTTCTAATCTATGGCTCTCATTTTTTGCGTTTTCTTCACTGACATTTTTAGTGGCCAGTGTATCTTTAGTCAGTTCGTCACTGTCAGGATTAACTATAAATTCACCATCGAATGGTAATACGTTGCTATCATGCGGATGTTCAGAAGATAGCACTCTTTGAGGACTCTCAGTTTCTTTAAGAACCGTTTCTTCTTCGCCTCCGCTTTTCGCAACTACAGTTGAAATAAGATCCCTAACTATTTCGTTAGCGATCATTTCAACTGTTTGTTTTTGGTCGATCATTTCTTCCATGTCGTGTTCAAAGTCTTCGCGACCGTTGGGTGTATTGCCTTCGGAATGTTGTCCACCAGATATGGCTCCTGAATCTGTGTCATCATCCGATTTCAACTTCACAGTTTCAAGGGCAATAGACAAGACGTCGTTAACAATATTGATGGCAACATGTTTTGGATCATCACTTATCATTTTATCTGTAATATTCAATTCAGTTTCCTCTTGTATTTTCTTAGGACTTGTAGCTTCACTCGGCGTTAAGTACAATTCGGATGGATCCGATAATTCTGATTCTCTTTCATTTATTATATTCATATTGTCTACTATTTTTTCGGGGCTAGCCGCTTCGCTAATCGATAAACTGGAAGGTATACCTTCGCTCCTATCTGTGTTATCATCTTTCATTATGTTGTCTCCTATATCTCTGACTGGAATGTAATCGAGGCTTCCTTGTCGACTTAACGGTTTATCAGTCTTTTCCAAGTCGACAATTTCCATTCCAGATTCGGAACTTTCTAACAGTTTGTTTTCTATAATAGACTGAACTAATTCATTATCAGTATTGAGCAATTTGTCATCAGTAGACTGTCCGGGTTCGTCCACAGCATGTTCCATTTCATTATTTACACTGTCACAACCGTCATCGATACTTGTCACTTCAGAACTTACACTCTGTTTAACAGGACTATGCACTTTACACACTTCACTATAAATAGCTGTAGTCCGTGGTTCCTCTGCATTCCTTTCACTGTCACTCGGTTTGAGTTTATTACAATTGCAGCCTTCGACTTCCCTAAGAGATAGGCCCTTGCCTATTTCTGTTTGCGCTCCATGATTAAGTACATTTTGTTTTCTAATTGTGGCTGGTGAGCTGTCCACGCTTTCGTCAGTATCGGGTACCACTCGACTCACGGTTGGTCCGTCCGTGTGTCTGTCCCAACCAGATATAGTTGAGATCGGTCGCTGTTGCCTCTCTGCTGGGTCGGTGATGTTGTCTGCGCGTCGTTGTTCATAATGTTCGTACATTTGAGCAAATTGTAGCTTGAACTCTTCGTATGAAACCTAGAAAGAACAGATTAGAATTCATTACACAAATAATTACTATCAAAATCATCGATATATTTCACTAATAAAAATTTAATAATTTCTAACCTTTGAATGGACTATAGCTAAGGTGTCAACCCAAACTCGCCATCCTCCATACTCATGTTTGATCGCATGATGAAGCAGCATTCTGAACAGCGAATACACCATATCCGAAATTTTTTGTTCCTCGGCGTTCTTCGGATGTATATAGGCCATAGCGACCAGCCATTCTTGCCAAACGGACATCTGGAGCACAGTCCTTCGGTTCTCTCGATTGTTACTGCACAGGAGCGTCATGTCGGAGAGGAATAGTTTTTTAACCTCGAGCAGTTGTTCTGTCTGCTTCGACTGTCGTATCAGTGTTGCCACCACTTTTAGTATCACTGAGGAAGTAAATGAACGTAATAAGCAATTTAATTTATAACACGTTTATTATAATACATTATGAGAAATTGTATTGAAACAGAGAAGCGTGCATGATAATGTTAATGTTACCAGGTTTAAGAAGGGAATGCTTCAGTGGTTTGGACAAGTAGAAATAATGAATACGGATAAGTGATAAGGTGATTTACCTAAAAGAAAATACTTTATTAATCAAATTGGAGATATATTGTACATGGGCTAAATTTAGAGTGCCCTTAACCGTGCATTTTCTTTGACATCCATATATTTACGCATACTTGCTATCTATATGGATGTGAAAGAAGCGAAAGAAGTGTGTGAGGGGGCCATAGTCGTTTTAGTAATTTTCTTTGGTCATTTTAACACTTTTTTAATGTACAATTATTTTCTGTCTATTATACTTCGATCAATAAAAGTTATGTTACAAAAACTAGTTACAAATAATAATTTCAAAGACTGAAAAAAACTGCCGTCCTTGTTTTTTTTTTGCCTAAACCAGTTTGGATACATCTAACCTACATAACAATCAGGAATTGGATTGGACTTTATTAATATCTACAATGTGTAATAATGATAAAAACCGACTGCCAAAATCAACTTTTTTTAAATCTTCATAACTTTTGTCTACCACTGCGTAGCTACATGCACTTTTCTAATTATTTATATAGAAGATCTGTACTTTCATATGACATAGATTTCATCTCTGTACAGACTGGGACACAGGTTCATACAATTTTTGGCCATCTCCTTTATATTAACATTTGATTTTGAGATATGTTCGAAATTTCAAGTCTTTAGCTTATCCTGAAGTTAATTTAAAATTGATTACTAAGTTCGACCCCAACAGACACACAAAACCGAGCTAATAATAATTTAAAAAAACGTAAAAACAAAGTCTCGGTAAAAATAATGAACTAATTTTTTAGTATATCATACTGTAATATTCTTACAATGTCAACTGATTCTGAGCTATGTTCAAAATTTTAAGTCTCTAGCTTATCGGTAAAGTAGTTTAAAATCAATTAATAAATTCGATCCGAAGAGACATACATGAAAGCGAATTAATAACACTCGTAAAAACGTGGTACTAAAATAGATTGTATGGAGTCTCACTGGGCTTCTCTGGGTGGAAGAATTAATAATAATATAAATAATAATAATAAAGTAAAAGTGGAAATAAAATAGGCAGTATGAAGTCTCATTAGGATTCCTTAGACAGAAGAGTAAATAATAAAAAAGTGGCAATAAAATAAGCAGTATGAAGTCTCACTGGGGTTCTCCAGTTGGAAGAGTTAATAGTAAAGAAAAAGTGGAAGTAAAATAAGCAGTATGAAGTCTCATTGGGGTTTTCTAGGCAGAAGAATAAATTGAATAAAATAGATAGTATGAAGTCCCACTGGGGTTCTCTAGTTGGAAGAGTTACTAATAAAAAAGTGGTAATAAAATAAACAGTATGAAGTCACACTGGGGTTCTTCAGTTGGAAGAGTTAATAATAAAAAAGTGGTAATAAAAGAGACCTTATGAAGTCCCACTGGGGTTCTCCAGTTGGAAGAGTTAATAATAAAAAAGTGGTAATAAAATAGACCGTATGAAGTCCCACTGGGGTTCTCCAGTTGGAAGAGTTAATAATAAAAAAGTGGTAATAAAATAGACAGTATGAAGTCCCACTGGGATTCTCCAGTTGGAAGAGTTAATAATAAAAAGTGGTAATAAAATAGACAGTATGAAGTCCCACTGGGGTTCTCCAGTTGGAAGAGTTAATAATAAAAAAGTGGTAATAAAACAGACCGTATGAAGTCCCACTGGGGTTCTCCAGTTGGAAAAGTTAATAATAAAAAAGTGGTAATAAAATAGACAGTATGAAGTCCCACTGGGATTCTCCAATTGGAAGAGTTAATAATAAAAAGTGGTAATAAAATAGACAGTATGAAGTCCCACTGGGGTTCTCCAGTTGGAAGAGTTAATAATAAAAAAGTGGTAATAAAATAGACAGTATGAAGTCTCACTGGGATTCTCTATTTGGAAGAGTTAATAATAAAAAGTGGTAATAAAATAGACAGTATGAAGTCTCACTGGGATTCTCTAGTTGGAAGAGTTAATAATAAAAAGTGGTAATAAAATAGACAGTATGAAGTCCCACCGGGGTTCTCCAGTTGGAAGAATAAATAATAAAAAAGTGGTAATAAAATAGACCGTATGAAGTCCCACTGGGGTTCTCCAGTTGGAAGAGTTAATAATAAAAAAGTGGTAATAAAATAGACAGTATGAAGTCTCACCGGGATTCTCTAGTTGGAAGAGTTAATAATAAAAAGTGGTAATAAAATAGACAGTATGAAGTCCCACTGGGGTTCTCCAGTTGGAAGAGTTAAAAATTAAAAAGTTGTAATAAAATAGACAGTATGAAGTCCCACTGGGATTCTCTACTTGGAAGAGTTAATAATAAAAAAGTGGTAATAAAATAGACAGTATGAAGTCTCACTGAGATTCTCTACTTGGAAGAGTTAATAATAAAAAGTGGTAATAAAATAGACAGTATGAAGTCCCACTGGGGTTCTCCAGTTGGAAGAGTTAATAATAAAAAATTGGTAATAAAATAGACAGTATGAAGTCTCACTGGGATTCTCTAGTTGGAAGAGTTAATAATAAAAAGTGGTAATAAAATAGACAGTATGAAGTCCCACTGGGGTTCTCCAGTTGGAAGAGTTAATAATAAAAAAGTGGTAATAAAATAGACAGTATGAAGTCTCACTGGGATTCTCTACTTGGAAGAGTTAATAATAAAAAGTGGTAATAACATAGACAGTATGAAGTCCCACTGGGGTTCTCCAGTTGGAAGAGTTAATAATAAAAAAGTGGTAATAAAATAGACAGTATGAAGTCTCACTGGGATTCTCTACTTGGAAGAGTTAATAATAAAAAGTGGTAATAAAATAGGCAGTATAAAGTCTCACTCAGGTTTTCTAGTTGGAAGAATTAATAATAAAACAATGTGGTAGTAAAATAGGCATAAAGTCTCACTGGGGCTTGGGTTCTCTAGGCAGAAGAGTTAATAATAAAAATACGTGGTGATAAAATAGGCATGAAGTCTCACTAGGGTTCTCTAGGCGGAAGTGGGGTTGCGGCTCCGGGTGGCTGGTGTAGAGGATCTGCTGGCCGACGTGCTCCGTGAGCAGCTCGTACAGCGCGTTGTATACCGGCAGCGACAGCGCCTCGCCCCCTGCACCTCCGGAGACACTCCCTGCTCCCCCCGCACCACCAGCCACACCGCCCGCACCACCCACAGTGCCTCCTGCGCCCCCTGCGCCCAGCCGCCCGGCCAGCAGCGTGTACAGGTTGTGCGGCGACATCACGTCGTACTTGCGTCTGCGCATGACACAAACATTATCTGAATTGAATACATCTTTAAAATTGCTTTCATATTCACAAGACGAGACGGAGGAACGCCGCCATTTTGTAGTCGTTTCGTTACGTACAAGCATTTACGTAAAACAAACGGCGGCGTCTACGACACAGTCACACCCCGATTTTTTTTGTTATATAATAAGGATGATAAACGAGCTCACAGTCCATCTGATGGTAAGTGACAGCATGTCAGGCAGATGTGATGTGATGGTAAATGGATGCTGTCACGCAGATGAGCTGTGGCCCATAGATACCTATATTTATCCTCGATTAAGAATCTAAAATTAATTTAAATTTAAATTAAGAAACAAATGAAATGCGTGGAGAAAGCGTTAAAAGAAAAAAAAACAAAATAAGTTTTCCCCGGGCCCGAAGCGTGGTCACCCCCCCGGCGCGCCCCCTTTCTTAAAAATGAAAAAGGGGGCCACCCCTTTCTTAAAAAAAAAACGGGGGTGGTTTTTACACGGCACGAAATTTAATTTTAAATAAAAAAAGCAAGAATTATAATTTTATTCTTTCCCTCCCCTTTCACTCACTCAGAGAGTTTCCATCACATTGTTGACGTATTCCAAGCAAAAGATTTGTTTTGTCGCTTGTAAATCATCATCATCATCATTACAGCCCTTCACAAGTTCAGCACACTGTTGAACATAGGCCTCCCCCAAAGAATGCCACAAAGCACGGTTCTGAGCCACCTGCATCCATCTACTTCCCGCATGTCCTACCAGGTCGTCACTCCATCTAGTGGGGGGTCGCCCTACACTACGCCTACCGGCACGAGACTGCCACACGAGAACCTTTAGCTTGTAAATCGTACAACAGAAAAGCTGGAATAATTTGCCACCTGTATCGATGGATCATACGATTCTATTCATTAACTTTAAGACAAGAGAAAATAAGCTTTTGTTAAGCGAAGTCAGTGTGCTTTACCTTCTTCGGTACATTAGAAGCAAAATAGATTAATAAACCTATGTATTGAGATACATACGTTAAAAATACATTTTAATAACTTCCGCCTGTTTTTAGCTTGGTTAAAGATTACTAATGGATCCGCTGAGTATAGTGTCATGACAAACAAAGACTTACACTGAGTAAAAATTGAAACTGGAATATTTAATAATAGGCCAATAACGATTAAGTTGCAACTTACTTATGTGTACTCCTGCTCAAGAAGAATCCGAGAAGCTTTAGCGCTTGAAGTCTAATCAGCTGGCTCTCAGAGGCAAGTAGTTTAAATATTGTCCTTACTCCACCCTAGAAGACCATACAACATACAACATAATATAAAAGATTATATGTTTATTAAAAATGATATATAGTATTAACATCAAATAATCCTTACTTTTGCATCAAACGCAGGGACCATCGAGCTAGGATGCTCGGACATAAGAGAAATCAGCATCTGTAGCACGTCATGAAGATTTTCATCCTGAAAATATAAAACGTAAACATAAAACACTTTCATTTTTCAAAAGAACGAAATATACGTTTGTATTGTTCATAAGTAATTATTTGTCAATATCATCATCATTACAGCCCTTCACAAGTTCACTGCTGGACATAGGTCTCGCCCAAAGAATGCCACAAGGCATTTTCCTGAGCCACCTGTATCCATCGGCTTCTTACATGTCTTACCAGGTCGTCACTCCATCTAGTGGGAGGCCGCTCTACACTTCGCCTGCCGGTACGAGGGTGCAACTCGATAAGCTTTTTCCCCGAGCATAGCCCTCTCCATAGCTCGCTGAGCGACCTTGAGCGTCCTCATACGGACGGCAGTGAAAGACCACGTCTCAGATCCATAAGTCATCACTGGCAACACGCACTGGTTGTACAATCTAGTTTTTAGGTTCTGAGGAGACGAGAAGATGTATCGTAATTTCCCGAACGCTGCTCAGCCGAGTTGAATCCGCCGATTGACCTCTCGGTCGCAGTTGGACTTACCTAGTCGGACTATTTGTCCCAGGTAAACGTACTCTTCAACAACTTCGAGCTTAGGGCTCCCAACAACTACCGGCATAGGTGTGATATGGACATTAAACATGATCTTTGTTTTGTCCATGTTCATCTTAAGACCTATCCCTTGGAAGACATAATTGATGTCATTGAGCATAGTGCTTAGATCCTCCAGCGATTCTGCCATATAGACTATGTCGTCGAAAAATTGCAGGTGAGTAATGTACTCGCCATTGATTTTATTACCGTATCTTTTCGAGTTCAGTAGTTTGAAAACGTCTTCCAATGCCCGCTGCATTTGCCATGCCACAAAGAGTTTCGGGGATACAACGTCACCCTGTCTTACAACTCTCTGTAGTTGGATAGGTTTCGTAATCTGGTTCAGTACTCGGATAGCCATTGTAGCCCTACTGTACAAATACTTCAGCACTTCTATATACCGACAGTCAAATTGGCACCGCTGAAGGGACTGTCGAACCGCCCAAATTTCGACGTAATCAAAAGGGTTTTCATAGTCCACATTTGCAAGGTAAAGTGGCAGATTGTGCTTTCAATCTCTTCAATCTTCTGTACAATCTGCCGCAGGGTATGTTTTTTTATAGAATAGAGTAACAAACGAGCCACCTGATGGTAAGTGGATGCTGTGGCCCATAGACAACTATATCCTTAATTACAAATCAAAATTCAGATACGTTGTCACCCGTGAGGACTAAGATGGTATGCCTTGTTTCAAGTAAAAAGGGTCTCCGGTTCTGTACACTCATCATACGAAACACTGCAGCGTTAAGCTGCTATTTTACGCTGGTGTTCTGGGAGAGCGTAGTCCTTTCCCGGCCGAGCCAACCCATTCGTGTTACAACTATACTAATAATATACGTACTACTAATGTACGTATGTAGTCTATGGTACTGAAGTATTTTCGGAAACCGGCTTGTTCGTGAGGCTGGAAGTCGTCGAGTCTGCGTGCAAGACGATTCGTAATGACTCTCGAAAACAGCACGTAGACGCGGCTCAGAAGAGAAATCGGTCTGTAGTTCTTCAAGAAAGCGTTGTCGCCTTTCTTGAAGAAAAAGACCACAGCACTTCTGCTCCACGTCTCCGGAGTAGTGCCACTATGGAGGAATATTTTTAACCGACATTACCATTCCGTATGACGAGAACCTCTTGAAAGCCGAAACAGATAAGAAAACTAAATATCTGGACCTGACTGACGAGGTGGACCTGGTTGCGGTATGTGGGGTAGTCTGCCCACCGAAATTATGCCTGTAGTCATCTCTGCGTACGGGCAAATACCGGTCAGCCTCTCGTGTCATCTGAGGCGACTGGGACTCCGTGACAGACTGCTACGGGTTCAAATGCAGAAGGCGGTGCTCCTCTACACCGCCGCATCGTCCGTCAATTTCTTTCCCTTTCCCCCTAACTCTCGGCAGTTTTGTCTCACCTGCCGAGGGCCTCCATCTGGTTGGGCTTTTATTTATTTTTGTATTATTTATGTTAATAATAATTTTATAATAATAATTTAGTATTTATTTTCTTCCACATATGATCAGTACTTTCAAATAAACTAAGTAATAGTAGATCTAGGTCCAGGCCCCTCCGTCAACAGAAATTAAATTGCTGTAAAACTCTTAATAAAAATTACAACTATTTGTAATAAAATAACATTAAAATAGACCTGTTCAGTTTGGAGAAACTGTTTAAAAATTATTAAAAAATATTATAGTCTACGATCCCGCTGCAAAATCACTACGTTCATTACGTCGTGAGTCAAACACACATTTTTACATACGTTTATGAATAGGAGAATTTTTAATTAAATTAACGTTAACTAATATTCGAAAAAAAAATCGTTCACTTGTTTTTTTAAATAAAATATCATCCACCACATCATAACAATGCATGTAAAGAATTCTAAAATCCATAGGTACTGGTGCACACTCGTCCGCAACTACCTCGCAACCAGTAAGCAGACAATATTTTGATCTATTTATACGTTCATGACTTACACGGATGTTATTTTATATCAAATTAAAGCTATTTTTTTAATACGATGATATATTTCTGCCTGTGAAATAATTGCCGCAAATTAGATTTTCTGTATGTTCGTAGTGTAATAATTTAAGTCATTTAGTTAAGGAAATATTTCTCTCCCTATTATTTAAGGGATATAATATATTTATTAATTAGTTAGCAAGATTATATAGGACTGGACTAATCTTCTAGTACTAATCTTCGAGCAAATAATAAATTGGTAACTAGTACCGTGCATACGAGTACATGATGCGGAAGTCTTTTGCTTAATATAGGATTGGATTTATTATACTCCCTTTATTAGTGATTTAATAATATTTTCGCAAGAATATGGAGCTGACGTACGGTGAGCCAGTCACATAATTTGTAGAGTTCGTTTGTTAAAATAATCTATGTTTTTTATAACATATTTTAAGTTTAAGTATTTGTGCACGGTCTAACTTATTAATTTGGTTATTGCTGCACCCCAAAGACATTATGCTATAGTTAATAATAGACTGATCTAATGTAGTGTAAACGAATTTTATGATAGAGGCATCAGCAAGATGACGAAGCTGCTTATAAATGTATGTTAGTTAACGGACCTAGTTAGCCACGAAATCCACAAACAATCTTTCAGCTTCTTCAGCAGATTTAAATTTTCTAAAACCAAATTGTTTTTCAGACAGTTATTTACTTGTTTCTAGGTTGTATGGTTTGTAAGGCCATACGCTTTCAAGAAGCGAAGTTGTAGTTAGTTGCTGAGCACGTCAAAAGGTTATAAAGTTATAAAGTTATTGTGGCAAATCTTTCCTTGAGTAGTTGGTGTTTAATAGGACGGTTGTTGACGTAATGGCGATTGTAAGATTGCAACTAAATAAGTAAAATTAAATACACGCGACGCGCGGCTAAAATTAGGTTACAGCGTTTACTAAATAAAAATGTGTGTTGGAATTATACATAGGTAATCTAAGTCTTTCATTTATTATTTTTTCAAAGATTTTGATAAAGTACATTCAATACATTCTGTATCGATATGGGGCGATTGTTATTGATACAGTTTCTTTCCCCTCCCTTGTGAATAGGCAATACAATTGATTTCCTAAAAGTATCAGGATGTTAGTACATTCAATATATATTTTAGTATATTTATCAGTTTTTTCATTCATTTTTTAGCTCAACCGGGTGAAAATAATCCATAAATACGTCATAAAAATAATAATAATAAAAAGTAAAAGTTTTTTTTTATTTCCAAAAGGTAGAAAACCAGATATTTGTTTAACACGTAATAAAGCTAATTTGGTACATATATCTGAAATATAGCATTTGCAGCCGAACTAGGAGACCTGTGCATCAGCTATCAGCGCCGTTACTCCAATTGAAGAAGCTGTTGCGTAACAACAAAAAAAAAACAAGGCTTATAAACGAAATAAAAGTGTATAATAACAGTACCTCGTGCATCGTGGTGAGATAGTTCAAAATCGATTGCAATTCGTCTTCTTTAACGCCATTCCCAATCATGATTAGTTGTTTGAGGAACAGCAGGATATATGCACGTATAGTAAGGATGTCTTTGTGTGCTGGTCGTGGACCTTCTGTGGGTTAAATAAAATATTGAGTTGAGAATTGTGTAAAGAATCCTGTTGTATACGAAATACTTACAAACTGCAATTATGCACAATAAGTTTATATTTTGTATAATTGAATTAAGAATTAAAGAATCCTGTTGTACGAGTATACGAAATTAAAGAATCCTGTTGTGTACGAAATACTTACAAACTGTAATTATGCACAATAAGTTTATATTTTGTATAATTGAATTAAGAAAAGAATCCTGTTGTATACGAAATTAAAGAATCCTGTTGTATACGAAATACTTACAAACTGTAATTATGCACAATAAGTTTATATTTTGTATAATTGGCACATATATTTATAACTGTAATAGTTGCTACGCAATTTTTTTAAATAAGCGTGGTTCTTCCTCAGTCCACACTCTCATCGAATACCAGCGTAAAATAGCAGTTCAATGCTGATTGTGTTTCGTATGGTGAGTGTAGAGATCCGGAGACCCTTTTTACTGGATACGAGGCATTCCATCTTAGTCCAAAGGGGCGACAACGCATCCGCATTCGAGGATAGATGCAGATGTCTAATGGTCGCAGCACCCACTCGCCATCAGGTGGGCTGTGTGCTCGCTTGTCATCCTTATTCTATAAAAATTAATTCGGATATAATCCATGTTTTGCTAATCATCTGCATAAATTTGCCGTAATTGAAAAAAAAAACAAAAGTGAAGCTATCATATTTCAAGCTAGGTCACAAAGATCTGATTCAGATAAACGATCGTCAAATAAAAGTGATAAAGCTTTAGTAAACGAGTCAGCGAGACTTGCTCTGACAACGACAAATTTGTTGCGATTTAGACGGCCTCCAGTTTGCTCCAGTCGCGTAATGTCTTCATCTTTACGGGAGATGGATCGTTTCCTAGAATAACGGCGGCCATTATTCAACTTCTTGTCTCCTATTCGTTTTGCTCATAATGTCTTATTATTTGCTTCAATTGTTTACGAACTAAATATTGAATAAAAGTATTTTTACGGATTTTATCTCCAACTTAACTGGCGTTTAATTTTGTCCATTACAGCCTATTAATTTACAATGCTGAGCGAGGCTTCCGCCACAGATTGCCTCATAGGGGTGATATTTGTCATAATTGCAGTTGCAGTTAATTAAATGCATCGTGTAGTGGTGGTGTAAGAATACCCCACCGATATCGTCCCGTGGATGCCGTAAGACGCAACAGGGGGAATCAATCCAGGAGACAGGCGGTGTCTTACTAATAATAGCGAAAAAATCAAAAACTGATACTGCCAACCCGTCTGCCAAGTGTGGAGACTATGGCAAATATTCACCCTAGAAATCTATAGGGGAGGTTCATGTGTGAGGTAACATTTTTTTATAGAATAAGAGTGATCCACGAGCACACAGTCTACCTGATCGTAAGCGGATGTTGTGGCCCATAAAAATCAACATCCATCCTCGATTCAAAATGTTCGAAACGAAACGAAATAAATGCCCACAGCAATTGAAGGATTTTGTTATAAATTTTTATAACAAATTACTAACGTTATCAATATTTTTGCTAACTGATCCAAGTAAGCTTAAAATGATTTTGTTAGAAGTGGTCCATGACTATCGAGTGACGCCTAATGAAGATGTTAAAAAATAATTAGCTAGGAGAACCGCGTAATAAAATTAAATGAAGTGACTGACCGCTTAGTGGCCGACTTACCGCAGAGTCTATTTCATCTGATGATGCTTGTTTAGAAGCCTAACACGTGTCGTATTATCAATGGTGATGTGTCTTCCCTAGTGTAGAGATGTTGAGATTAGTGGAGACGAGGATAGCGCACGCAACTGAGGAAGGGCGGAAGGTGTTCTTCAAACTGAGTGGATACGTCATTTTATTTTACTACGCGAATCTCTTAGCTAATTAATTTTTAACCTTACAATTTAACCATTAGATTGCTGATCTATTAAACCTTAGACAGTTAAATACAGAGTTAAATCCAAAATCACTTACCCAATCCTTTTGGCGTAATCCCACTCTTAGTTCTTGGATTGACGACCCAATAATAGTATTTCAACGTGTGCACAGTCTGCAGAACTGTACTGACTCTCCTGACACTCCCGTATATGTGGGCATCAGCTAAGAAGTCCGTAGCCAAATAGCAGTAAAGTCGGGCTTGAACTGCGGCTGGGGTGTGGATCCATAGCGCCGGGTTGAAGAGGATGTGGTCCAGCAGCTGCCAGGTGAGGAAAGATTGGCAGAAAGACTGAGATTAGCACAGACTTTCAACTGTCCGATGGTCGGTAGCGAAATGCTCTCTTGCTTTATATGTTTGTTACTTTGTTCTACAGTCGTTTTAAATAAAACTGGGGCTAATGAATTTAAATAATACAGCTTCGCATTTGCTGCATTAAATATAAGTTCAGTAGTATTGCAGATAAAACTAACATTTTTTATTGTCTAAAATACATGATAATAACGAGATATCACAAGAAAAAACTAGGAATATACAAATTATTTTTGCTAAGGACACACATTTTGTTTTGCATTGATTCAAAAGCCCCAAGTGCAAAAGCAGTGATAAATTGATTTATGTGAAAAAAAGCTATTTTGTTGTGCTCTTTTAAAAATCTTAAAACTCCCAATAATATAGAACATAGTGAATGGAAAATTGAACATTATGCAATGATTTTAAAAGATACCTATTTGTAAATATTCACAATAAAAATATGTATAAGCTTTAATTTGCAAGCATGATAATTAGAAAGAAACGAAGCTAGAATATTATTTAAAATTCATACTGTTAATAGTTTGCGAATTAAACCCGCTGAAAAGCTTTACTATCACATTTCTCGATAAGAAATAAAGAAACAGAATGTGACAAAGTTTTTGCCCGTGCAAGTTTCTTACTTTTTCTTTGTGATGTGGGATTAAAAAATAAGTGAAGAAGCAAGAGGAGCATGCGCTAATAACCATCGACACAAAAACGTAAGTTCATTTTAGGGCGGGGGGAGGGCTTAACTTTATTGCCATGTGAAACACTTCGAATCGTAAATATCTTGTTTTCTGTTTTATCTAACCTATTTTTTTTTTGTTATAATGTATGTGCCAAATAAACGTATATTCTTTCTAAATGGTGCAAATTTAGCCTTGTGGCATGTGTGCAAATTTAGCAATGATGCAAATTTAGCGTGGTAGCTATTTACCACGCTTTTCTCAAGGTTACTTTGCTGCCATGTTCGGCTTTTCTTAAATTGTTGATTCGAAGAATTTCATTGGTCGAATGAACTTGTATGTAAGTATTTAACAAACGTAATAACTAATATGGAAGGGCAAAACAAGGAAAAAAACATATGTCAATAAATATATGTATTTTAGAATAATATTAAAAGCGATTCTGTTTGTTTCTCCTCAAAGCAGTGCACTGTGTCCCTGCGTACTTACATTTTTATTATTAACGCTCTATAAATTTGTACTTACTATAACCCTCAAAAAGCCTGTAATAAAGTGCTCCCTAAAACGAAACTATTTTACGTGTATATGGTACATAGCATAAGAGGAATAAGCGAACTGTTGCTCCAATTCTGTCCTCCAAGTACCAACCTTCACGCCGTCCATTCTGAACTAACTCACTTAACTCTATAGTACGGCCAACTAGCAACGATACGAAAGATCATTTACCTTAAAAACGACTGTGGAGTTGACACTCTATTATCTATTTCCTTCCATCTTGTGTATTTGTCGTATTATCTCGTTTTCCCGGCAAAAACATATCAGGGTCTAGACGGGTTCGCCAACATTCGGGGGGCCATTTTATTAATTGTTTATTTAATTTAACAATAATTAGATAAACCACAATTTTTATATTATTATTTTGTTTTGTTGATAATTGTTTTTTATTAAGAGTGGTTAATGGATGGAGCCACAACCTCCGAGAGATAAATCAACAGATTTTACTTCTCTGAAAAAGAAACGTCCAAAGGTATGTATAGGAATAGGATATATATGAATGTTGTTTAATAGTTTTAATTAAAACTTCCTAGTTCAGAGTGTACTTTAAAGTTATTTAAAAAAACAGCAACTGTAATAATAAAAAATTTTCTTAATTTATTAAAGATGCATGTAAGTAAAGTACGTAAATCATTTTAATTTAATTTTAAATTTTAGGTAACTAGTTTTACTATGAATGAAAAAATATGGTTATTAATACCAACAAATATATTTTTAAATTTATTTGGGTTTACCAATGTTTGATTACACTGTATTTAACAAAATGGCTTAAGAACTAACTTACGTAGCTAAGTGTAACAATCGTTTAAGGCAAACACCACATGCATATATGCATATAATATGTTAAAGAATCTTGGCCTAATGATATATACCCATACAGAAAATAGATGGATAGAAAGCATTTATTTAATTTAAATCTACATTATTCAATAATTCATATTATAACAAAACTTTTAAAAAATTTATTTTTTTGGGTTTGCTAGACATTTTTTAAAACTATATTGTCTACTTAAATATATAATCTAACCGTCAAAAAAGTTACGCACCCCTGCTATTCCTAATAACCTTGCATTGGTTTTGTTTACACTTGGTATCGCTTCTCGTTGGCCGTAGTATAGTCAAATGATGGCAGAAAATCCATACTAAAATCCTAAATCCAAATTTCACAAACTCTGACGGAAAAATCACCAGGTGGAGGGTATTTACTAGCGTGGTAAATATGAGAAATACCGATGTCCATCCAACACAGGCAAATCAAGGGGAAAGTCACGGGGGTCACGTTTCATTCTCTTTTTTAACTGTAGGTAAGCTCCTACGAGCAATTATTAAGTGCTCGTAGGTAAGCTCCTTACTGTTATCTTATACAAGATGAAAGAATGGCGTGCCGAGAAAATTCAAACTATGAAACCCCTCCAAGCTTAAACTCAAGATCTACGTCTGAGGCAGCAATGTATTAAAACGGCTAGTGTTGGCAGCGTAGATGTCTACCGACAGTATAAATAAATTTTCGACAAATAAAAAAGCAATTTTTAATGGACTAAGTTCTTTGTAATTTATTGAAATATATTGATTGGTTAAAAGCAAACTATATATGCTGTTCAGTTAACGATATATCTATACTGGATGATTTTTATTACCGACTGAAAAAAATTGGGTGTAACACGTGAACGGAATAGAAGCCTATAGCACTGATATACTACTTTTTTTTAATTTTACACTAACCTATCATGAAATTGAACTATCAATAAATACTTACTACTAATTTGACAAACTTCCGTTTGTGAAAAAATAAAAACAAAAATTTTGAACTAAATAAGTCAATTGAAAACTATCGAAATTAAAATATAATAATCACCCAATTAATATCTAGTAACATATTTATTGATAGATCAATCTCATAATATTATGTTAATGTAAAAAAAATATTGTAAAACATCAGTGCCAAAGGCTTATATTCCGTTTACCTGTTACACCCTATCTTTTTCCAGACGGTAAGAAAATTCACCCAGTATAGACTAGAGAGAAAAATTAAAACCAAAATTATTGATTCCATTTCTAGAATATCAATGGACATGACTTGCAACTAAAATTATATTAAATACCTTCTAATAATATTACATACCTGCTTTAGAAGCAAATCGGAATTAGGCGAGCAGCAGGTGACGAGATGTTTGGTCAGATGCAAGAATGAAGCCAGGGTGTCCGGCGTAAGGTGCTCGCGACCGCAACGTTGCAGCATATACGAGATCACCAGGAATCCGCGACACTGCAGCATATGCTGCTGCACGGTACTGCACGACTCGACCAAGGAGCACACGAAACCCAGGAGTTTTGAACTGAAAATCAACGTAGGTGACTCTAATTTCACTTGTAAACAAACGCAGGTAGATTTCATTTCAAAGCGCCCTTGTGTTTTGGGTAACACTGAAACTATTCTGATTATTGCTCTCACTTTATCGCGGGCGTTCAGAATATTTAAAAAAAAATAAAATAAAATAAAACCCAATCTTGACAATATCGGTAACTAAGCTTTGTCAAAAATAATTGAAATAAAATAAAATAAATTTTACGCAATATTATAAAGGTTAAAAAACTGTATATTTTTAAATTTACACTATTCGCTAATTTTAATTTATTTAAACAATTTCATACTATGTAAGAATAATATGTTTCAATGAGCTTTTGGCTTAACGCTTATCTTTATAAAGAAAGTTACAATTATATTAATAATTACGCCGGTCCCAAGACCTCTTATGTCGTAGGGCTGCGCAGAGGGGTTACTTATGAAAACTTTCACACACAACACGCATTAAACGTAGTGTATGTGACACTACTCACATATTATATACAGACTACACACACTATTTTTACTTTCTAAATTAAAAAAAATGTTGTCTATGCTCACCTGCCCTTACTTACTTTATTATATTTTATGATATGGACCTCTTCCTTTTAATACGGGTGCATTTCGCGTTCAAAAGAAGAAGTCTACCATTGTATATGTACTTGTAAGACCGTGTTTTATAAGTACATTTTATTCATATAAAACCCAAAAAAAATTTTGTCTATTACATATTATTATTGTGTAATTTGTAAACCTGAGATAAATATGTAATTTACTAAAAGAAACTAGATACAAATAGTTTTGTGCTGAATTTTATGTATAATATTTAAGAGAAAAATATTTAATACATAAAGTAAAGTAAAGTTACAGCCTATATATACGTCCCACTGCTGGGCTCAGGCCTCCCCTCATTTCTGAGAGGGTTTTAGGGCAAGGAAGTGTCCGCCGCGCTGCCCAATGCGTGTTGACGAACTTCACATGTCTTCGAAATATTTTTTTTCTTATTCCTCAGACATGCAGGTTTCCTCACGATGTTTTCCTTCACCGCCGAGCACGTGGTAAATCAGCACTTAAAATTGCAATAACCAATTTCATTGGTGCCGGCGGGGATCGAACCCAGGTTACTCGCGTTCTGTTATATTTACAGCGAGCGTTAACCACTGAGCTACCACGGCTCGTTGGTTAACGCTCGCTACAAGCCACGGTTGATGTTTGGACAAGCTGAGGTTGTGTTTGAGTGAACGGTGGCGGCGCAGACAACGGAATCTGTTCAGACACAACTTTCAACTCCAACTCCTCCTCGTCTTCTTCTTTACATTCTGAACTACTACCACTACCTTCGTCAGCTATGTAGTCTATATCATCCACATGCATAAACATGTTTAACCGACTCCTAATATTTCTTCCATTTCCGCACTTTTTAGCAGTTTCCTTGCAGATTCGCGATGTACTGGGTATTGTTGATCTTTTTAACTGTCTTGGCATGTCAATCATTATAAAAAAAATTTCAAAACAGAAACCAAACCCCCCGGGGGTTAAAACAAATGGTTACCTTGGACCACGAAGGTTCCATGGCAAAAACAAATGCTACGGCCACCATTATATAGCATATGAATTATTGTAAGGGACACGTCGCGTGATCGGCCGCGTAATAGGCCACTTCACGCGACGCGTATAGCGGCAATGAACGTGTTAAAAAACTAAAGTCGTTATTTTAAAGACAAAAATGTATTAGATAAGTTTTTAATTTATATCTCTCACTTGGGAATTATATAACAAAAACAGTGAAAACTCAAGGAGCAACAAATCATATAATTAAACCATGCCAAGATTATTTTGTAGTACGAAAAATGGTTAACACCATCGCTTCTAATTGAATTTTTAGTACAAAATAAAAAGTTTAAATAACAGGCCTTAAGGAATAAATTATTGTCGCCATAAACGTTGTTATAAATCCAACCCTGCTCCTAAACGGGGCCGACGCCAGGCAATTAGAAGTTGTCAGGAGTTAGTTCATCGCTATTACCCGACCGTTTCAAGATGGCGGTGAAGTTCAAGGAACAATTAGTAAGCGACACTGAAAGTGCATTTAGCGGGTTAATGCGGGCACAGCCACTTGGAATATTAATGAATTGTTCTCAGACTTCAAGTTTATATCCAACCTCACTGTAGCTGTGATTTAGTTTAAAATTTCAGCAGAGTTTGATGGCTATTGGGTTCCAACTGTGTACACGATAAAACTTTCTTCGAGACAAGAAATAGGGATTCTAAAACTATAATATGTGTTTAATTCTTTTTAGTGCTAACATCATTGTTACCCAAATAATGCATATCCCGCTAGTGGTGGTATAATTATTCAATGATAATAATGTTAATATTGGACACATATTTTCTTATACTACTAGATCATTTAAACGGAATGGAATACCTACAATTAAGGAAAAAAATCGAACCAAAACTGATATGCCTAAATTAATAAAATAAAAGGAATGTGAGGGATAACTTAAATAGTTAGGAATACTAGGATAACATACCAAAGCATGGGGTCCCGTTTAGGATCGGAGCTGGGGGCGTCGTGCGGCAAATCGAGTTGTGCGAACAGCGGGAACAGAACCTGCACCCCGCCGATCGAATTCAATGCGCTGTGAATTGAATGCGTTACCACGGCTTTCACTTCCTGTAGAAAAAAAAAAACGTATTTTTAACACATCGATTAATGTTCCCATCACTACTAGGCTAACATAAAGTTCTAAGGTCCCTAATTAAGTGCCGGCGACGCAACGCGACTTCGGTAGAATAATTTCACGGTAATTTTTTGCAATGTATTTAACGTCGTGGATATTCAACATACCAGCGTAAACAATATTCCCTCGACTTTGAAGTTACACATCCAGACCTTTAGACTAAAATATTAATTATAATTATTAAGATACATGTAATTTTGAGACCTTTTAAATTTTTTTTCTAATGCACAATCGTATGTTAATAGGTAGATGTTAGACAAACCTGCAGCATTAGCGCATGTGGTGTATGAACAAAATAGGAGACGTTTCCCTTAGGAGCCGACTGTAAGCACAGTTGTCCGTCTGTCGCAACCGGGTTGTACATGAACACTATGGCAGAGGACAATTTGCCGTCATACAGTACCTGCGAAGAGACAATAAATTCATTATAATTTAACAATAAATAAATATAATACTTTGTTGGATTATCACTAAAGTTTTGATGAGTGAAAACAGTAAAATTTTGTTTAATTTAAAATGTAAATAAGTTTAATAAGTATTAATATATTAAAATTAAAAAGATGTAAATTAAGAATTCATTATTGTATGTTCAATATTAATAATAGATAAATTATGCAACACATGAAATACACGAACATGCACTAAATAATTTAAACAAATTAACCACTAGCTTGATTCACGAATTTTTAAAAATATTTTGCGTTATAGCATAGGCTATGTTATATTATATTACTCTTAATAACAACTTTAAATTTGTTATCGTTTAATTTGCTATAACATGCCTATCAAATTCTAAAATTTTGTCTCATAGAGACATAATATTTAATATAGATACCATGCTTAGCAGGCGCGGCGCGGGTTCGTGACCGTTTTTTTATTATTTTGAGGTGTCATCAGGAAGATGGTTCTACCATCTCCTGTTTCATATTCCCCTGTTACCTCCGACGACACCAATGGGATGATTGGGATAATAAGACCCCAGACGCCGCCACTCTACGATAATGCTTACGAGTAAACTGAGTAAAAAAGGAATAATTAAAAAAAATTCCACGCCAGCTACTGGAAAAATACGTGTTAGATACTTTAAAGCCTAGAGATCTGATTTTATTTATTAAACATTTTATTAGTCACACTATTGATTACTTACAGATGAAAAATAAAAATCTATCTATTACACATACCCATTTTAAAAACTTAATGTCAACATGAAGACAACAAACAGTTTGTTAGTGTAAAGGCCCCGAATTTAAAAATTAGCAAACCACATTGACTTTAACCATGTATTATTTGTAGATGTGATAAGCAGGAACAAATAAATACAAGAGGCAGATAGCACAAAACACAATTACATTACCAGATGGAGTTGGTGTTGGCGGCAGACCCCTTCCTTCCATTAGTTAAGACAACATGCCAGGGAACGCCCGCAGGGTTATCCAATAGGTTTCGAAGTAGTAGCATTAATTCTTCGGCACACTATGTCTTATTATGCGGAAATTATTTTATTCCTAATTTTTTAAAGTTTTATTACGAGTAAATAACCCTTTAGACCCCTAGACTCTTTGTTTAGACCAAGGAATATCATAATGTCAATGTAACAATTAGTATGTAGTTTTAGTAGTTATATTAAAAATGCTATCCTCTTTTCATCTTTTTTTTTTAAAATGTTAACCACCCTCGAGATACACAATTTCCATATTTAAAAATCAATTGCTGTCGTCCGGTTAGTATCACAAAAACTCGAAAGGGGTCATCCACAGAAATCTATATTTAAATTTCTGTGGGGCCATTCCATAAATCACATCACACGTTAAGAGGGGGGCGGGGGGACAAAATGTGACATTGTGTGACAAGGGAATCGAAGGGGGGAGGGACAAAATGTGACATTGTGTGACAAGGGAATCGGAGGGGGGGGTGGACAAAATGTGACATTGTGTGACAAGGGAATCGGAGGGGGGGGGGGGGGCGGACAAAATGTGACATTGTGTGACAAGGGAATCGGAGGGGGAGGGGGGTAAAAGTTATGAGTCACATGTTAAAATTTTATTACTATCTCAACATTTCTACATTTTGATTTTAATAAAGATTATTTTTTATTTTTTATTTAAATAAAAAAGGTCCTGAAATATAAAATTAAAAAATATGTGACGTCACACAATGGGGAGGGGGTTTCAAAAGTGTGACTATCTGTGTCGAGGGCGGGGAGGGGGGGGGCAAAGAAACATAAAATTTGTGTGACGTCATTTATGGATGGCCCCAAAATGGCTCGACCGATTCTGATGATTTTTTTGTGTGGGCCCCTAGAAAACTCAATTGGAATCGGTAGGTGGCGCTGCTGTCGAGATCCAGAAATCACCCGAACAAAGCCGTTGGGGGTCCCTAGTATTCAATAGAAAGAATAGTAATTTTTTTACAGTTGTCTATGATATCGCGTAGCGTACATACAAAGAAAATACAGTCGAATTGAAAAGCTGCTCGTTTTTTAAAGTCTGCCCAAAAATCGATCTCAAAGAAAAACACACACACAGGGTCACAGGGACAAACACCGAGTTTATTCCAAAAGTGTTCCGCTTCGTTCCGCTGAATTTGGCACGGCATATAATAAAAAGTAATTTTTTTCTGTGAATATCGTTCATTGTCAAAAACAATGTTTATTTATCAAATGAAAAATATTATACTAGTTTTATGAATATTCATTCTGCCTGTTTCTTCTTAGGCACAAATTATAAAACAAAGCCAGTCATTTTATAATTAATTATAAACAACCCTACATTGAAAAACTACCCCTTTCGGAAGTGAGTAGCTTTTAGTGAAAGTGAGAAAACTTTTGTATGGTGCTAAAAGCCTTGTCGAGTGAGTGTTACCTTACACCTTAATAGTTAAGTCAGTGTTATGAATATGCCAGAGTTACTCGTTGTTATTATGTCGTCATATGTAGTGGAGAATGAAAACAAAATTAGATAATATGGCTCATAGATATTATGTATGTTTTTTTATAGAAGAGGGGGCAAACGAGCATGCGGCCCACCTGATGGTAAGTGTCTATCGCCGCCCATGAACAATCACAACACCAGAGAAATTGCAGGCCGGCCTTTTAGAAATGAGTAAGTTCTATTCTTGAAGGTCCCCAGGTCGTATCGATCCGTAAAAATCGCCGGTGGTAAACTACTCCACAGAGAAGTTGTACGAAGAAGACAACTCATAGTAAAACGCAGTACGAAGAAGAAAACTCCTAGTAAAAAGCAGTGGTAATGAGCGTTCGTGAAATTAGGCGACTAAATTTAATGTTTAACATCTTTAAAACTTAAATCGAGAAGTTGTTTACAAGAATCGATTTCGAAATTGAATAATGTATAAAATAATTTTAAATAACTATGGCTGAGAATTTAGGAGATATGGTCCGATAAGTTTTAAAGATAAAGGTTAAATAATATTAAAAGAAAATAAAACCATTAATATGGTACAGTTTCCTATTTATGGTGCTATAAAATTTATTCAAACTGAAATTTTATGTACTTAACACATACATAAAATAGCTATTAAATAGGTCACAGAATACCAGCGTAAAATAGTAGCTTAATGCCGCTGTGTTTCGTTTGGTAAGTGCAGAGCAACCGGAGACCATTTTTACTGGAAACGAGGCATTCCATGTCTCAAGTCCTCAAGGGTGACAAAGTATATGCATATGATTCTTAATCAGGTATAGAGGTAGATGTTTATTGGCCACATTTACCATTAGGTGGACTGTGTACACGTTTGTCACCCTCATTCTTTATAAAAAAAAAAAACTAATGACATTACAAAACAATTTCCTTGACACATCTGCAGTAGAAACTGTTGCACATTTTCGCGTTTACGAAGCAGAAAGCTTTTACGTTTATATTATTTCGAAATGCTCTTAAATGTAGTATGTATTCAGTATGGGATGTGTAGCTAAAACTGGCGCATTTATAATATTAGAGCGATATGTTTTATAATTGTAGCAGTTTTAAATAATTATATAACAAAATATTTTTTTATAGAATAAGTGTGACAAACTAAAAGTTTTTCGTACGTGGTAGAGCCATGCTGCAGTTATATTAGTAGTATAGTTGTAGCACGAATGGGTCGGCTCGACCGGGGAAGGACCACGCTCTCACAGAATACTAGCGTCAAATAGTAGCTTAATGCTGCTGTGTTTCGTATGGTGAGTGTAGAGAACCGGAGACTCTTTTTACTGGAAACAAGGCATACCATCTTAGTCCTCACGGATGACAACGCATCTGCATTTTGATTCGTAATCGAAGATAGATGTAGATGTCTATGGGCCACAGCAACCACTTACCATCAGGGGTACTGTGTGCTCGTTTGTCACCCTATCCTATAAAAAATAACAAGCTCACAGTACTCCTGATAGTAAGACACCAGGCCACTTTGTATGTTTTACCACGTTTTTATAAAATTTCATACATGCACTTCTACGTCTGTTCGGATCGAGTTTAGCATTTGATTTTAAATTTTTTTTTTTTTTTTTTTTTTTTTATAGAAGATGGGGCAAACGAGCATGTGGCTCACCTGATGTTAAGTGACTACCGCCGCCCATGATCAACCGCAACACCAGGGGAATTGCAGGTGCGTTGCCGGCCCTTTAGAAAGGAGTAAGCTCTTTTCTTGAAGGTCCCCAGGTCGTATCGGTCCGGAAAAATCACCGGTGGTAAATTATTCCACAGAGAGGTTGTACGCGGAAGAAAACTCCTTTTGAAACGTACAGTGGTGGACCGCCAAGCATCCAGATGGTGTGGATGGTATCGGGACGTTTGCCGTGTAGTGCGTTCACGAAATTTGGCGGCTGGGATTAATCCGAACAATTCCTCAGAGCACTCCCCGTGATAGATGCGATAAAATACGCAAAGAGATGCAACATCTCTTCGCAGCGCCAGTGAGTCGAGCCGATCGGAAAGCACTCGGTCGTCGACGATTCGAGCCGCTCTGCGCTGGATGCGGTCAAGTGGAAGGAGCTGGTACTGGGGAGCCCCAGCCCAGAGATGGGAACAGTATTCCATGAGCGGCCGAACCTGCGCCTTGTAAAGTTGCAGGCGGTGTGCCGGCATGAAATACTGTCCCGCTCTGCTGAGCACGCCAAGCTTTTTAGAGGCCAATTTGGCCTTCCCTTCCAAGTGACCACGAAACTGCACGTCACTCGATATGTCGACGCCGAGGATTCCGATACTGGCTGAGGCAACAAGGGGAGTGCCTTGAAACTGAGGGGATACGACAAAGGGGTTCTTTTTAGCGGTTAACGCGCAAACTTGTGTCTTCTGGGGGTTAAACTGGACTAGATTTAGTCGCCCCCAATCCGAGACTCTGTCCAGCAGAGACTCGACTTCAGACACAAGTTTGTCCCGGCACTCAGAGACGTTTTCCCGA